CCTTTTACGACAGTCGCGCTTTACGGCAGTTTTACGACAGTCGCGCTTTACGGCACCTTTTACGACAGTCGAGCTTTACGGCAGTTTTACGACAGTCGCGCTTTACGGCACCTTTTACGACAGTCGAGCTTTACGGCACCTTTTACGACAGTCGCGCTTTACGGCAGTTTTACGACAGTCGCGCTTTACGGCGCCTTTTACGACAGTCGCGCTTTACGGCACCTTTTACGACAGTCGCGCTTTACGGCAGTTTTACGACAGTCGCGCTTTACGGCACCTTTTACGACAGTCGCGCTTTACGGCAGTTTTACGACAGTCGCGCTTTACGGCACCTTTTACGACAGTCGCGCTTTACGGCACCTTTTACGACAGTCGCGCTTTACGGCACCTTTTACGACAGTCGCGCTTTACGGCAGTTTTACGACAGTCGCGCTTTTGTGGTAATTTACAGCACTTTATGGTTTTTATTTTGTTTTTCAGTTATTTTTAATTAATTTTGTTTTTTTAATTTTAAATTTACTTAATTTTTTTTATTTTTCCATTTTTACAGCTTTTGATTTTTTTTTATTTTCATTTTTTATTTAATTTATATTTTTAATTTTTCTATTTTAAAGCTTTTTATTTTATTTTTTAATTTTATTTTTTATTTAAGTTTTAGCATTTTTTCCTATTTTTAAAGCTTTTTATTTTGTTTTTCAATTTTATTTTTTATTTATTATTTATTTTTAATTTTTCTGGTTTTAAGGCTTTTTATTTTGTTTTTTTAATTTTTTTTTTTTTTTAATTTTTTTTTAATTTTTCTATTTTAAAACCTTTTTTTATTTTTTAACTTAATCTTTTAATTATTTTTATTTTTAATTTTTCTTTTTATAAAGCTTTTTATTTTGTTTGTTAATTTTGTTTTTTTAATTATTTTATTTTTATTTTTTCTATTTTTAAAGCTTTTTTTTATTTTTTAATTTAATTTTTTTATAGTTTCTTTTTAATTTTTCTATTTCTAAAGCTTTTTGTTTTTTTAGTTTTTTTTCTATTTAATTTTTATTTTTCATTTTTCTATTTTTAAAGAATTTTATTTTTTCAATTTTATTTTTTATTTAATTTTTATTTTTAATTTTTCTATTTTTAAAGCTTTTGGTTTTTTAAATTTTTTTTTCTATTTAATATTTATTTTTAAGTTTTCTATTTTTAAAGCATTTTATTTTTTTTTATTTTAATTTTATTTGATTTTTATTTTTTTTATTTTTAAAGCTTTTTATTTTATTTCTTAATTTCATTTTTTAATTAATGTTTTTTAATTTTTCTTTTTTTAAAGCTTTTTATTTTATTTTTTAATTTTATTTTTATTTTATTTTTATTTTTAATTTGTCTGTTTTTAAAGCTTTTTATGTTTTTAATTTTATTTTTTAATTAATTTTTATTTTTAATGTTTGTATTTTTAAACCTTTTTATTTAATTTTTTAATTTTATTTTTATTTTATTTTTATTTTTTATTTTTCTATTTTTAAAGCTTTTTATTTTTTTAATTTAATCTTTTAATTAATTTTTATTTTTAATTTTTCTTTTTTTAAAGCTTTTTATTTTGTTTTTTAAATTTTTTTTATTTATTTTTAATTTTAATTTTTCTATTTTTAAATCTTCTTTTTTCATTTAAGTTTTCTATTTTATTTTCAATTTTTCTATTTTTAAAGCTTTTTAATTTTTAATTTTATTTTTTATTAATTTTTTTTTATTTGGTGCTGTCCAGACCAACTCAAGCTGCTGATTGTGGTGGAGTTTGAGGGTCTTGTGTTACGGCACTTTACAGTTTTTATTTTGTTTTTCATTTATTTTTAATTTATTTTGTTATTTTAATTTTATTTAATTTTTATTTTTAATTTTTCTATTTTTAAAGCATTTTATTTGGTGCTGCCCAACCCTGCTGTAGTGCATTTTTATACTTTGTAATACTTTGAAGTAATTTTGTTTTGTATCCCCATATTTTTCCCAAATGGTTTATCCCAAACTGTACCCTCCTCCCTTTACCTGTGTTATCCCTCTCCCGGGATGAGATCATCCCCAAACCCCCACCCTGGCTCTCTGTCAATCACTCAGCCTCCCATCCCCTCCATCCAGAAGTTTCGGTCCAAGTCGTTGAATGATTAGCCAGAGGCTGGGAGTCAGTCCCCCAAGCCTTGCCCCACACGCTGTCCTATATGTCTAGCCCCCAGCATCCATCCCTTAGGGTCACTTAATGGTTGGTAGGATGTTATCTGCTTTTGGTTTCCACCTCCCTTTAAATGTGACCTTGGCCCATCTCCCAGGGCTCTCAGCAGGAGCCCCCTGATGTGCAGGAGCTCCTTTGGGACTCCTAACAAAGCCGTGGATTAACCCCTGCTAAGAGTCGGCCCTTTATCTTCTACCGCTGTCTCTGGTGTCTCTTGTGCTGCAAAGGCACCAGCCCAGGTGCCCTCAGCACCCTCGGGGCACACACAGAGAGTGTCTCCCTGCCAGCCCAGGTGCCCTCAGCACCCTCGGGGCACAGAGAGTGTCTCCCCCCTGCCCAGGTGCCCTCAGCACCCTCGGGGCACACACAGAGAGTGTCTGCCCCCAGCCCAGGTGCCCTCAGTACCCTCGGGGCACACACAGAGAGTGTCTCCCCAGCAGCCCAGGTGCCCTCAGTACCCTCGGGGCACAGAGAGTGTCTGCCCCCAGCCCAGGTGCCCTCAGTACCCTCGGGGCACAGAGAGTGTCTCCCCGCTGTCGGCCGTGTCGGGGCTGCCAACTCGGGCCTGGCCGAGGGTTACTGAGAGGCTCGCACAAACCCGCTCGGCCGCTGATTGTGGTGGTGTTTGAGGGTCCCCAGGACAAGGGAAGAGACGAGAATCTTGACTCCACCTTTCACAAGGCTGAAATATTATTTTATGATCTCTATTATATTAAAAGAAAATGAGATATTAGAACTATACTAAAAGAGCAAGGAGACATCAGAAAGCTGGAAAGGAATGAATAATAAATACCTGGGACTGCTCACAGCCCCGACACCGCTGGACCATGATTGGTCATCAAGTAGAAACAATGCACAGGAGACCAACCCAAGATGCCCCTGTTGCTAAACCATCTCCAGCCCACACTCCACAGCCAGCAGATTGTTATTGGTTCCATTTCTGTTCTGAGGCTTCTCAGGAGAAAAAACCCAGCGAAAGGATTTTCATCAAACACGTCAGTGCCAGGTGATGGCACAGGCAGCATCGGCCGGCCGAGGTCACTGTGTCATCCCTGCCAGCCCAGGTGTCACAGCAAGGAGGAGAGAGTTCACCCTGTGCTCAGCCTGCAATACAGAGCAATACAGAGCAATACAACACAAAACACATATTAACACAAGATGATACCCTTTTTCTATTTTCATTACAGGTTGATTTATTTGGGTCTTGTCCTGCTACGAGGGCCACACTGTCCCCATGTTCAGGCTCCCACGTGCTGCTGCAGAGAGGCACGGGTGGGGGGTGAGGGGAGAGAGGGATGGGGCAGGGCAGGCTGGGGAGGGGAAAAGGGCAGAGTGAGGGATGGGGCAGGGGCAGGATGGGGAGGGGAAAAGGGCAGAGTGAGGGATGGGGCAGAGCTGGGCTCCAAGTTCGAGTAGGGGTGAGGGGCTGAGAAGAGGACACGGCAGAAGAGGGCTGAGGGGAGGAGGTAAGGGTTAGGAGGGGGCACGCCGTATCTCCCAGAAAAACACTGCAGTAAAATAAAACTCTGGTTGGCCTTGGAGTGCCAAGCACCTCCTGCAATCTGCCACCAGGAACCTGGTGGCAGAGTTTTGTTTGCCAGGGAAAAGGGCCAGCATTGGTGTTCAGGGGCCACCTCCTGAAACAGGAGGTGGTGTTCAGAGTGGGCAGCCACCTCCTGAAACAGCCCCTTCAACGCCCTTCTCGGTTTTGGGGTCCCCCCGACTCCCTTCCAATTTGGGACCTCCCTGCAATCCCTTCCAAGTTTTGAGACCCCTTTTTTGACTCCCAAATTCCCTCTGCCACTCCCCCTGTCCTTTCGGGCTTTGCAGGGACTGACCAGAGACTGTCCAAACCCCTGAGCCCCTCAAACTCCCCTCCTGGGGGCTTTTTGCCCTCCCTCCCTCAGGGAGAACTCCCAGGGTTCTCCCCCCACCCCCTCCCCGCCATTTCTGTCACCCCCTAAAACCAACTCCCAGGTCCCCCAAAACACAACTTTATTCACAGCCCAGCCCTGTCCATGCCCTCTCCACACCCCACAGGGGAGTCTCCCAGTGTCACCTCCCCCCCCCCCGCCCCATGTCCCTTCCCCTATTTACAGCTCTGGGATGTGGTACTGACACGGAACAGCGACGGGCACAGAGGGGGACACAGGGCATGGGGCATGGGGTGGGCTTGGGGTCATCAGCTCTGTGTCCTCTGTCCTGTCCGTGTGTCGTCCACCTTGGAGTCACTGTGTCCTGTCCTTGTCCCAGTCCAGGTGCCCCCCCACAGTCTCCCAGCTTGGTGTCACATTCCCTCACCTGTGGCATAACTCCATAACTCGTGCGACCCCAGCTCCGTCACCACGTCCTGCCCATGAAACACTCCCTGTGTCTCCTCACATGGTGGCACCATGTCTCCTGTCTGTAGCACTGTCCCTGTGTCCCCCACCAGGGTGGCCCACTGTCTGTGTGTCCCCACAGGTCACCGACAGCAGGCACTGCCAGAGCATTATCCAGCAGTCCTTGTGTCCCCACCACGGTGTGCACGAAAAGGGCATGAAAAGCGGGTGATGCCCCAACTATCTAACACGGATGCCCCACACTCCGTGTGTCCCTATGTCCCGGTGCCACTGTCCCCCTGCCCCTCAGGGCACAAAGAGTGGGCGGTGCCCCCAGCAGTGCGAGGACAGTGCCCCACTGTCCCTGTGCCCCCTCCACAGTGTCCCCATGCTCCCTCAGGGCACGAAGAGCGGGCACTGCCCCCACATTGTCCCCTCAGGGCACGAAGAGCGGGCACTGTCCCCACATTGTCCCCTCAGGGCACGAAGAGTGGGCGGTGCCCCCGGCGGTGCCTCCTGAGCGCGGCGCTCCGGGCAAAGCTCTCCCCGCACTCCACGCAGATCAGCGGCTCCTGCCCACAGCCGCCCTCGGCCCCTGTGGGCCCCTCGCCCCCCACCCGAGGCCCCTTCAGAGCCCTCGGGGCACCGGCGGGGTGGGCGCAGCGCCGTGGCCGCGCTGCCCCCGGCCCGGCATGGGTGCGCTGGTGCTTGATGAGATTCTTGCTCTGCGTGAAGCTCTTGCCGCACTCGGCGCAGCCGTACGGGCGCTCCCCAGTGTGAATGCGCTGGTGCTGGATGAGGTTGGAGCTCCAGGAGAAGCTCTTGCCGCAGTGGCCGCACCTGTACGGCTTCTCCCCGGTGTGGGTGCGGCGGTGCTGCACCAGGTGCGAGTTCTGCGAGAAGCTCTTGCCGCACTCGCCGCAGGTGCTGGGCCGCTCGCCCGTGTGCGTGCGCTGGTGCCGCAGCAGCTTGGACCAGTGGCTGAAGCTCTTGCCGCACTCGTTGCAGATGAAGGGGCGCTGGCGGCCCCCGCCCCGCCGCCCTCCGCCCTCCTCGGAGCCCCCCGGGGCTGGGCCGGGGGTCCCGCGGGGCGGCGGGGGGCGCAGGGGGCTGTGCGGGATCACCGTGCGGATGATCTCGTGAGGCAGCACCTCGGCCTCGCCGTCGCTCACGATGCCGTCATCGGCTGGGGGAACATGGCCAGGGGGTGAGAGCACAGGAGGGGCTAGACCTCCAAACCAAATGTTTGCTGTGACCCTAAAACGGGCTGGGACCCCAACACAAATGTTTATTGTATTCCTAAAACGGGCTGGGCCCCCTCCTCGAATGCTCATTGCACCCTAAAAGGGTGCCTGGAGCCTCCCCAGTTTGCCTGAAGCCTCCTCAAAATGTTCGTTGTGACACAAAAAGGGGCTAGGCCTTCTCCTCAAATATTTATTGAGCCCCAGAAAGGGGTTGTGCCCCTGACCCAAATGTTCATTGTGACCCAGAAAGGGCTGCAACCCTGACCAAATATTCATTGTGCTCCAAAAAGGGGCCAGACATCCATCCCAAATGTTCACTGGATCCCAAAAATTGGCTGGACCCCTGACCCAAATATTTGTTGTGACCCAAAAGGGGGCACAAAAAGGGGCTGTGGCCCTCTCCTGGTGTCCAGTGCACCCCAGAAAGGGGCTGCACACCCTACCCAAATGCTCACTGTGCCCCAAAAAGGGGCTATGCCCCCTCCTGGAGTGTCTGGAGCCCCCCAAAAGTACCTGAAGGCCCCCAAAATTCCCAATAACCCCTTCTTGGGGGGTCTGGAACCCTCTCAAGAGTGTTTTAAGCCCCCTTCAAATTCCTCTACCCCCCTCCAGTGGTGTCTGTAGACCCTCAAAAACCCTTGAATCCCATCCCAAATGCCTCTACCCCCTTCTAGGTACATCTGGAGCCTCCCCAAATTTGCCTGCAGCCCCCACATTGCCTGCACCCCCTTCTTGGAGTGCCTAGGACCCCCCAAATTTGCCTACAGCCCACCCCAAAAGTATCCGTATCCCCCCCAAAATTTTCTGTACTGCTTTTCTAGGTTATCTGGAGCCCTCCAACCCCCCCATCCACTTTTGGGGTCCCCTCCTCACCAATGAAGACCCTCCGGACCACGTCCCCCTCGTCCGAGTCCTGCAGCTCCACCACGTCCGGCTCGTCCTGCTCCATGGGGGCTCCTGCAAGGACTGCAGCATCAAGGGGGGCCCTGAGCACCCCAAAACGCCCCAGGACCCCCCTGAGCAGCAGAAAACCACAACCGCCTCCCCCCACAATTCCAAAGGATTGTTTGCATCTTGGTTCCTGCTGTGCCTCCCATATTTCTCAGTGTGACCCCAAATCCTTTTTTGCCCCCCTCAATTTCCATTTACCCCGCCAAAATCCTTCTGTGTTACCTGTCCAAACCCTTCAGGGAGATCCCAAATCCCCTTGTACCCCCCTAAGCCTCATCCCCACAAAAACCTTTTTTCCCCCCCATCCATCTATTCCCCCCAAAATCTCTGTGTCACCCTAAATCTCTTCATGTCCCCACAAATCCCTCAGTGTAATTTCAAACTCCTCCATGTGATCCCAGATCCCTCTGTGCCCCCCCAAATATCCCTGTTCCCCCCATAAAATCCCTTTGTGTCCCCCCAAATCCTTCTGTGTGACCCCAAATCCCTCTGTGTCTCCCCAAATCACCCTGTACTCCCCAGTTCCCCTCCCACCTGCTCTCTGAGGGTCTTGGGAGGGTCTCACAGCTGCTCCGGACTCAGCCCCTAAAATCTGGGGTGAGGGGGATGGAAGGATGCAGATGGGGGGGGGGGGGTCACAAAGGGGGGGGGTCACCGAGTTCCCCTCAAAATCACCCAGGACCCCCCAAATCACCCAGGGTGCTCCCAAATTACTCCCAGTCCCCCAAGGTTTGCTCCTCCCCCACTTTAATTTTTCCAAGGGGGCACAAAAGAACAACAGAGCCCCAGGACCCTTCCCCAAAATTCACCCCCAAATTGAATACTGGGGGGGGACTCCCAGCTTTTTTTTGAGGGGTCCCCACTCTCTTGCCCTCCCTTCCAAAACGGTTTATCCACAGTCCCCCCCCCCTTCAAATCCAACATGGAGGTAACCCAAATTTTTGGGGGGAGTCTCCCAGATTTTTTGGAGGGGGTCCCCACTGTCATTGCCTCCTTTCTGCCCCCCCCAAAACAGAGCCTGATCCCTCCTCCCAGCCCCAAATCCATCTCCCCTCCCATCCCAAATCCAAGACGGCGGTTATCCACAACTGCGGGAGGGGTCTCCCAAATTTTTGTGGGGGGTCCCTACTCTCCTTTTTCCCTCTTTTCCAAACCTAAAAACGGCACACCCCCCCTCCCCTTCCATTGTGGCCCCCCTGCCACCGCCTTCTCCTTCCCAAATCCAAGACCGGGTGCATGCCAAATCGGAGAGGGATCTCCTGAATTTGGGGGGGGCGGGGGCGAGAGTGTTCCCCACTCTCCTTTTTCCATCTTTTCCAACCCTACAAACGGCGCCTCATTTCCACCGCCCCACCCCCCCGGCTCCAATCCATCGTTCCGCTCTATCCCCTGGGTATCCCCAGCTGGACGGGGTGGATCTCCCACATTTTTTTGGGGGGGTCCCCGCTCTCTTTCCTCTCTTTTCAATCCGCAAAATTCGCCGTTCATCCACACCCCCCCCCCCGCCCCAAATCTTTTGCCATCCCTCCGCCATCGCCTCCCCATCCCAAATCCATACCCGGGGGTATCTCCAGTTGGTGGTCGGGGGGGGGGGGGGGGTGTCCATCCAGTTTTTGTGGGAGGGTTCCCACTCTCCTTTTTCCCTCATTTCCAGCCCCCCAACGGCGCCCCTCCGCCACCGCCTCCCCCATCCCAAATCTAACATCGGGATATCCCAAATTGGGGGGGAGGGGGTCTCCCAAATTTTCTGGGGGGGTGTCTCCGCTTTTTCCCGTCCCCTTCCCCCCCAAAAACGGGCCCGTTTCCCTCCCCCCGCGCCCCCCGACTCACCTCGGCGGCTCCGCGGCGCGGGAGGGGCCGGGGGCGTTCCGGAGGGCTCCGGGGGCGGCTCCGGGGGTCCCGTCGGGCTCGGCGGTGCGGGGGGGTGGTGGCGGGGGCGTCCCCCGGGCGCGAGGCGGGCACGGGGCCGGGAACAGGAAGGTCCCGTCATCCCATTCCCCGCCGGATGCGCCGCTGGGAAAAAAGCGGGGAAAAAACGCTGGGAAAAGTGGGGGGGAAACCTTGGAAAAAGGGAATTTGGGCGGGGGGAACCCCTAGGGGGAAAAAAAAAGGGCGGGTCCCAGCAGGGACACCCCCGAACCGCCCGGTATTGAGTGGGGGAATTGTGCGAATTGCCCGAATTGTTGGGGTTTGGTTATTTTGTTATAAAGGGAGGTGTTTTCCAAGCGGGGGATGGATCTGGGGGGGGGAGGTTGGGCAGGGTGGGTTTAAGGGGAATAAGGACAGGGAGCCCCCCCAGACCTCTCCCTCCCCCCTTCCTGCTTTGTGTAACGGCAGCGACGCGTTTCCTGCCCTCCCGGGAATTAAAAATGGTTGGAATTACGCAACGAGGGCGGAGGGCTCGGCAGCGGCATCCAGGGATTCAGGGAACGGCGGGATGGGGGCTTCGGGGCGTCCCCTGCGCGCCCCCCCCCAAATCCCTGAATGATCCCCCAAAGGGTTTTATCGGGGCATTTCCTTCCCCCCTCCCTCCGACCCCCGGGAATCAGAAACTGGTTGGAATTACACAATGACGGATCACGGGATCCCGAGATAGAGGGACTGGGGGGGATCGGAGTTTTGAGGTGGCCCCTGTGCCCCCCAGATTCTCCCTCACGAGGCCTGGGGATGCATTTCTGCCCCCCGCCATCTCTGGAATTAAAAATGACTGGAATCGCACAGCGAGGCCAGAGGGTTCAACAGTGGCATGGAGGGATTTTGGGATCAGGTCATGATAGGATTGCGGTTCCGGGGTGACTCCTGTGCCCTCCAAACGCTGAGCCCCCTCCTCCGATATTCTGGGGGTGCTTTTTCTGCCCCCCAACCCCCCAGTTAAAAATTGTTGGAATTATGCAACACAGACAACGATTTAGCAGAATTTTGTGATTCTGGGAGCATGGAATAGTAAGATCAGGGTTTTGGGGTGCTCCCCCTGCACCCCATGCCCCCAGAGCCCCTCAGAGGGTTTAGGGGTGCTGGGCTGGGAGTATGGGGTCTCCATCTCCTTCCCTCACCCCAGGCACTGGTTCCTGAAGGATGGGAAGAGCTCTGCATGGCCATACTGGGATCACTGTGGGTGACCCCAAAATCTCACAGTCGGACAATGTCATCACCCCTGGCTGGTGTCCCCAAATCCATATAGTGGACCGAGGCTGCTCAGAGACCTTTAATTGATGTCATCAGCAGATCCATGTGCCCAAATCCCAGGATTCCCATCCTGGGGACCCTATCCCCAGGGTCCTTGAATCCCTGTCCCCACCATGGGGTCCCCATCCCCATCACAGTGTCCCCATCCCGACACCCCCATTCGTGTGTCCCCGTGCCACTCCCAATGTCTCCACAGGCTTGGTGTCCTTATCCCCATCTGCCCCCATAGGTACAGGTGTTGCTGTCCCCATCCTGATGTCCCAATCCTGGCTTCCCTGTCCCCATCCAGGTGGCCTTTTCCCCCTCACATTTCCCACTTTTTTCATCTCTCCCCTTTCTTGTTCTTTTTCTCTCCTTTTCCCCCACCATTTCCCCCTTTTCCCCCTCACATTTCCCACCTTTTTTCTCTCGTTTCCCACACTTTTTTTTCCTCCCTTTTCCCACTCTTCTTCCTCTCACCTTTCCTGCTGTTTTTTCCCCTCACATTTCCGACCCTTTCCCCCTCACGTTTCCCGCCCTTTTTCGCCTCACGCTTCCAGCCCTTCTTCCCTCACATTTCCGACCCTTTCCCCCTCACGTTTCCCGCCCTTTTTCGCCTCACGCTTCCAGCCCTTCTTCCCTCACATTTCCAACCCTTTCCCCCTCACGTTTCCCGCCCTTTTTCGCCTCACGCTTCCAGCCCTTCTTCCCTCACATTTCCGACCCTTTCCCCCTCACGTTTCCATCTCTTTTTTCTCTCACCTTTTCCCACTCTTTTCCCTTCACCTTTCCCCCTCATTCCCTCCCAGGCTCTCCTGTGTGGAGGCAGCACAGGCGGCTCCTCGCTCCGGCGCCATCATGGACTGGTTCCACTGCAGTCGCTGCTTCCGCCAGGATGGCGCCCGCTTCGCCATCACCAACTGTGGCCACATCCTGTGCGAGGGCTGTGGGGGCTCAGGTAAAATTGAGGGAAACCCTCAGTTTAAGCCCTTTAAATGCTGAGAAAGGGGGAGTTTCTTTCAATTTAGTCCCTTAAAATAAGAGGGAAAGGAAGGGTCACCTCAACTCAAGGAAATAAATAAGTGAGGGCTCTGCCCTCAATTTAAACCCCTAAAATATCCGGAAAAGAGGGTTTCCCCTCAATTTCTGTCTTTTAAATGGTGGGAAAAGGAGGATTTCCCTCAATTTACACCCTTAGCATGGTGGAAATGGAGGATCCTGCCTCAATTTAAAACCCTGAAATGAAGGGAAATGGTCCATTTCCCTCAAGGAACACCATTTTTGGGACTTTTGGACATCTTTTTCTCTCTTTTTCTTTTTTCTCCCCTTCCCACAGGTCCCTGCCCAGTCTGTGGCACCGCCTGCTGCTACCTGCCCATATCTGATCAGGCCAGTGTCCTCCATGTTGTTCCCCACATCCCCTTCCCACCGTTTTCCCTTCCCGTTCCCAACCTTCTTCCCATCATTTTGACACCCCCATGCCCAATAGATGCGCCCAGAGGAGAAGGTTTTCTTCAAGAACCCAGTGGACCTCGCCCTCAAGCACCTTGCCCACATCACGCAGGTGAGGAGGACACAGGTAATGGGGGATGAGGTTCCACCGCTGTCCCCAACCCCACACGCTGGGGGGTACAAGGGAGTGACCGACATCCCCCAGGTGTGGCAGTTCCAGATGGCACAGGCACAACTTCTGGTGGACTTGCACGCGGACAGAACTCGGCGGGTGCAGGCAGAGCTGGACAAGGCCAGAGAGGAGCAGGGGGAGAGGAGGAGGTGAGGGGGACGCTATGGAAGGGGGTTCGCACCTCCATCTTGGGCTCCTCTGGGCATGTGGGTGAGGCAGCACTCCTTAACGACAGTCCTCATCCTTCTGGCCCCTTTCTTGGGAGGGTCTTACCCCCCCTTGGCTGCCACATTGGTGACAGCATGTTCTGCCATTTGCTGCCATCTTGCTGAGCTCCCACCCCCTTGCTCTGCCCTCCTTAGGTACCCTATGGAGGGACCCCCACCCCAAATGGGGGGGAAAACCCACCCTCCATTAAATCCTCCCCCTTCCCAGGGAGCTGGAGTCGCTTCGCCGGGAGAATGAAGAGCTGCGCCGCATGCAGGTGGCCCCCAAAGCCCCCCTTCCCCTTCCCTGGCCCCCAAACTGCCCCCCAAAGTCCCCCTGCCCCTTTCCTGGACCGCAAACTCCCCCCAGAGCCCTCCTGCCCCTTCCCTCACCCCCAAAACTGTCCCCCTCAAATCTCCCCACAGCTCTCCCCAGGCTGGCGCTGGAGCAGCCGCAGCAGCACCCCCTATCCCTCCCCCACACATTCAGGTAAGTGCCCCCCAGATTTGTAGGGGGGTCTTCCACACCCTGAAACACCTCCTCATCCCCTCCTTGCTCATAGGGGTCCTTCCAAATTTTCTCCTTTCCAGTCACCCCCCAGCCCCGCCGGCAGCTCAGCAGTCAAGTGGTCAGGTAAGGGGTGTGGGGCATCCTAAATTGGAATGGGGGTCCCTCAATTGCACGGGGGGTCCCCCAAACTTCCTGCCTCTCTTTTGCAGCCGCTTCGCCCCACTGGAGCCCCCCCAGTCCCACAGCACCCCAGGATGGCAGGTGAGACCTCACCCCAAATGGGGGCCACCCCAAAATAGGGGGGTTCCCATAATGGTTTGCTCTCCCCCCACAGGCTGGCATAGCCTACAGAAATTCAGGGACCTCCAGCGTAGGTGAGTGACCCCAAATCCTACAGGATTTATCCCAAAATAATGTCCCAAGCCCCGACCTTCAGCTCCAAGCACCATCCCCTTTCCTCGTCTCCAAGGAGGGACCCTAAAAGCTCATATAGGGCCTCAAACCCCCATGGTGTGACCCCAAACCCCTGATCTCTCCCCACAGGGACCCCAAACCCCCACGGAAGGAGCCCAGAGCTCCCCAAACCCCCTGCAGGACCCCAAGCCCTCCCAGAGAAACCCCTGACCCTGATCTATGGGGTGACCTCAAAAAACCCCCTAACGCCCCTTTCCCTCTTCAGTGCCCCCCTTGGCTGGGACAAGCGAGGGACAGGTACTGGGGGCACTGGGAGGAACTGGGAGGGCACTGGGGGCCTTGGGATAAACCGGGAGATGTGGAGAGGGGAATCTGGGGGGGACTGGGATAAACTGGGAGGGACTGGGAGGGGATATAGGGAGCCCCAGGAGGGACCTGGGGGCACTGGGAGGGGGTTACTGGGAGGGACTGGAAGGAGAGATTGGTTACTGGGAGAGAATTTGGATTCCTGGGAGCACTGGGAGGGGACGTTTGGGTTACTGGGAGGGGGGCTCGGTGATACTGGGAGCGCTGGGAGGACCCCAGCTCCACCCCCTCCTCCTTGCCCCTCCCTTTTCCCACCCCTTTTCCTCCGAAATCAAGACAAAACCTCCAAATGCAGTAGCTATTCCCCAAATTCAGAGGCCACCCCCCCCAAATTCGGTAACCAAGCCCGCCCAGAATTCAGTAGGCACTCCCTAAAACGCGATAGCCACCCCGCTATTCGGTAGCCAGGAATTTAATCTTCTTTATTTAGGGCTCTGCTCGGCGGCTGGCGAGGGGCGGGCGCTCCCAGTGGGATCTCAACCCACGGCCATAAAGGACAAACAGAGATCTCTGACGGGATCCGAGGCTCCTGAACAGCAGCTCCGGGGGTTCCCTGGAGATGGCTGGGGGCAGTAGTTGTTAAAAAGGAATAAAAAAAAATTTCCAATTTTGGTGCCGTTCTGGGTCCGTTTGTGGGGCCGGGGGGGCGTGGCCTCTACCGCGAGGCCCCGCCCCCCGGGCCTATCGAGGTTGTGTTGCCGGTGCTGGGTTCCTATTGGTTGGTGGGTCGGTGTGCGCGTGGCCTAAGGGGAAAGCGGGATAGGGAGGCAAATTGGGGAAAAATGGGGAAAATTGGGGGAAAATTGAGGGGGTTACGGGGGGGGGGGGTGTATGGAGGAGGGGGAGGGCCTTCGTGATCTTAGGAAAGCGCGGATTGGTGAAAATCCGATAGGAGGCGTGGCTTAAGAGCGATCGGTGCTGGGGATTGGAGGACAGGCATGGAGGGGGCGGGACCAGCAGGGGAGCCGTAGCCGGATTTGTGGCGAGGTGGTCGGGGCGGGGCACTTGGTGTGACGCCACTTCTGGTTAGCGGCATTTCCGCGTCCTGCTTGGCCGGCCGCCGCCGCTGGTCCGGGAGCGGCTCGGGCCCCCGGAACCGCCCCGCGACCGCTCCGGAGCCACTACGCATTCCTCCGGAACAGCCGCGGCTCCACCTCCGCACTCTCCTGCGGCTCGGTCCGGCCCGGGCCGCTCCCTCCCCGCCCCGGGTCCGGCGCGGGGCTCGGCAGGGCCGGCCGGGGATGCCGCGGCGCGGCCCGCGCCATGTGGTACATCATGCAGAGCATTCAGAGCAAGTACTCGCTGTCCGAGCGCCTTATCCGCACCATCGCCGCCATCCGCTCCTTCCCTCGGGACAACGTGGAGGATCTCATCGGCCGGGTGAGGCCCCGTGACCGGGACATCCCACCCCTTCCGCGGCCAGACCGGCCTGCTTGGGTCCCCCCCGGACTCCAGGTCCCTCTGACGGGCCCTGCCGAGCTGTCGCCGGCTGTCCCGCTCCCTGCGGAGCCTCCGTGGGGATCCCCTGGAGGGGAAGATCAGGGCATCTCTGGTTGGTTTAGAGACTCCAGGCTTTTCCTTCCACCCTCCGAACCCCCGGGGCTGGCGGGGTCTCTGGGGCTCTCCGGGCACCGTTTGGTGACAGTGAATTAGTGAAACACAAGCGGGAGCTGGGATTAAGACCGGGAGTGTTTTTGCGAACAAACCCCCGAGATTTCTCTTAATTAAGCCTTTCTTGAAGGGGGGATGGGAAGGGCAGGGAAAGGGTGGGTTTTTCTGACCCCGGGGTGGTTCCTGCAAACCCTCGGGATTTGTGTGAATTAACCCTTTCTGAAGGGATGGAAAGGGGGGGAGTTCCTTACCGGGGGGTGTTCCTGTGCTCCCCAGGGTGCCGATGTGAACTGCCTGCATGGCACCCTCAAACCCCTGCACTGTGCCTGCATGGTGGCTGATGCCGACTGCGTGGAGCTGCTGCTGCAAAAAGGAGCTGAGGTAAAGCTTTGAAAAGGTAGAAAAACAGGTAGAAAAAATTCCGAGATAAGGGCAGGGAAGTCAGGAAGAGCTGATTAAGAGTTGACATTGGAGCTGATGTGTTTAAGTTGGATTTTGGGAAAACGTTCTTCCCCCAGAGTGTCACAAGCTCTGGGAACTGGGATTTGGACAATGCTCCCAGCATAGAGGGGGATTTTTGAGTGTCCCGTGCAGGGCCGGGGCTTGGATTTGTAGGTCTTTGTAGGTCTTTTCCACCTCAGCATATTCCATGGGCTTGTATCCCCTCACAAAGTGGCACCAGGGAAAGGTTCATTGTCCCAACAGGGAGGGAATTCTTGGGCTGAGATTTTTGGGAGAGAAGGAAGGATTGAAACCTAAATTTTTGCACTGAGATTTCAGGAGGCTGGGAAGGAAGCCACTTTCCCCTGGCTACTTGGGTAAAACCCTTCCTTATTTTTCCCTGCGTTTGGGATTTGGGACCTTTAGCTCTTCCCTTGCTGCGGGATCCAGCTGGAGCCACTCCCTGACCCCCAAACCTTTTTTTTTTTTTCCTCCCCCAGGTGAACGCCCTGGACGGCTACAACCGGACAGCCCTTCACTACGCAGCAGAAAAAGATGAAACCTGCGTGGAGATTTTATTGGAGTACGGCGCCAACCCCAACGCCCTGGACGGCAACAAGGACACGCCCCTGCACTGGGCGGCCTTCAAGAACAACGCGGAGTGCGTGCGGGCCCTGCTGGCCAACGGCGCCCTGGTCAACGCCCTGGACTACAACAACGACACCCCCCTGAGCTGGGCGGCCATGAAGGGCAACCTGGAGAGCGTCAGCGTCCTGCTGGACTTCGGCGCCGAGGTGCGCGTGGTCAACCTGAAGGGCCAGAGCCCCATCTCACGCCTGGTGGCGCTGCTGGTGCGGGGCCTGGGCACGGAGCGGGAGGATTCCTGCCTGGATTTGCTGCACAGGGCCACGGGACACTTCGAGCTGCGCAAGAACGGGAGCCTGCCCTGGGAGGTGGCCCGGGACCCGCAGCTGTGCCAGCGGCTGACGCTGCTGTGCTCGGCGCCGGGCACGCTGCAGGCGCTGTCGCGCTACGCCGTGCGCCGCTCGCTCGGCCTGCGCTTCCTGCCCCAGGCCGTGCAGCAGCTGCCGCTGCCTGCCTGCCTCAAGGAGTACCTGCTGCTGCTCACCTGAGCCAGGGACAGCTGCCCTTCCCCCGGAGGATCCCCGCTCACTTTGTCACTTCCCAGGTTCTTCTCCGTGGTTTTGTTGCCCTCGGCCACCCGGCACTCTGCTGGCCCCTCACGCTGCCTCCGTTTCCTCCCCTTGGCCCTTCCATTTTGTCCCCTCCCTTTCTCCCCCTGTTCTGTCACGCTCCCTCCATTTCCTCCTCTCTGTTCCCTCTGCTTCTCTCCCTGTCCCCCCCTTTCACTCTCTGCAATGAACAATATCCCTCTGATGGCAAATTATATCCCAGCTGTTGGATTAATCTATTTTTTCCCCTTTTTTTTTTTTTTTTTTGTTTTTTTGCCTTGCAAAAGGAAGGTTTTAAGGGAAAAGTCTCCTTTGAGGAAGGACCCAAGGCAAGAAATTGTGGGTTAGGATGCAGAGTAATCCTGTGGGATGGGTTGGCTGAAAATCAAAGATCCAGGTGTTTCTCCAGCATGGCGAGTGAAGTTCTGCCTGTTTATCCATAACTTTTATGCAGCATCAGGAGTGAAACCACCTCAAAAACCAAAATTTTGCAGGGCTGGAATTCTTGTAGGCGAAAGAAATCTTCAGAGAGCTCCGCATGGAGCTGAGGGCTTCCCTCCCATCTCTTCAAGCTCTTCCTGAGGTTTCCCACTAGGAATTCACCCTTTGGTGTTGGTTTGGGTTTTTTTTTTGGGATCTATTCCAGGATCCAATGGAAGAGCAGCTCTCCAAGGTGAAACCAAGCGGCTAAAAACTGTCATTGTTATTTTCTGGGATGAACTTAGGGCTCAAATTTTATCCCTGTTTTATCCCTCTGTGTTATGCTGGGCAGGGAAATCCTGAGGATGAGGAGGGATTTGGTGTCAGTGGGGTCCAGGTTTGCCTTTCCATGGATTCACAGAGACCTGGAGCACTTGGACAAGCACTGAATTTATTGAAACATCTCCATTTTATGACTTTTAACCCTAAAAACCTCAACCTCCACCATCCATCCTCAATTTATCCTGATACCGCTTGGGGACCACTTCTCAAAATCCCATAAAATCCCTGAAAAGCCCCGGGATGCTGTGAGAAAAGGGGATTTTTGGGGTTCCTCAGGCTGGCAGTGGCTGCTGTCCCTGTCACAGGGTGGCGTCGGGGACCAGGACCTTGCGGGTCAGGTGCTCCAGGTGCGCTGTCTCAGACGTGTCTAGCTCAATGTTGTACTTGGCCAGGATTTTGAGGATGGGCCGCAGCTTCAGCCACCACTGCTCCTTGGGGATGCGGTGCCTGAGGGGACAGGGACAGACTGGGGACATCCCTGGGGAGGGATCCCAGGCTTTGTCCGCTTTGGCAGGGTGGGGAAGGGAGGGACAGGGAGGGACACGCACTCAAAATCCGTCTGCTGGCGCAGCTCAGCGATGGGTTGGAACACCAGGCTGCGCTTGCGCATCCCCAGCAGGCACGCTGAGTCCGCCGTGTTGGCAAAGATCCGGCCTGGGAGGAACACAGGAATGGTTGGGAACCTCCTGGAGGCGACTTGGGAATGGTTGGGATCCTCCAGGGACGTGGGAGGGAAGGGTGGGAATGTTTGGGAATCTTCAGGGATGGGAAAACACCTGGGACGGGAAGTCGGGAATGTTTGGGATCCTCCTGGAGCAGGGCTTGGGAATGCTCAGGATGCTCCATGAGGGTAAAACCTATGGGAGGGTAGGTTGGGAATATTTGGGACCTTTCAAAAACGAGAGGGGAGGTTAGGAATGTTTGGGATCATCCAGGAGTGGGGAACATCCCCCAGAATCCACAGGAGGGCTTTTTGGGAATGGTTTGGGAATGTAGGGTCACTCTGGGGTCCCTTTGGGATCCCCCATCCAGCAGCACCCACCATGCCGGGAGCACTCCTTGATCTTCCCGGTGATCCAGGCCACGGCCTTGGCGCCCATCTTGGTGCCGAAATTTCGGTCAAAGGGGGTGGGGCTGCCTCCCTGCCCCAGGAGAATCCAGGATGAGCCAGTGAAATCCCCCAAGTCCCAGTCCTCTTCCCAGGGAAACCCCCTGAACACTGATCCTGTTCCTGGGGGAATTCCCAAACCCTCACCCCATTCCCACCTGCTGCATGTGCCCCAGGACGTTTTTCCGGCAGTCAAAAATCCCTTTGCCCTCCTCGCAGTAGAGGTTGTAGATGAAATCTGTGGTGTAGTTCTCATTGCAACGCTCATTCCTACACCAGGGACAGGATCAGGATCAAATCCCACAATTCACCCCATCCCAAACAATTCCACTGATCCCCAACAGCAGCACCACAATGAGACTCCAACTCTTCCATCACCACGGTGAGAGCCCAGTTCCCCTGATCCCAAACCCAATCCCCACAGGGGTGCCACGAGGTCCCCCCAAAGCTGGAGCCCACCTGAGCACAAGCCCCCTCTTCACCGTGGTCTTCATCTTCTCCGTCAGGTGGTCCACATTGGCCTGTGGGGTCGGGAATGGAGGTGGGAGTGGGGTCAGTAGGGAACCTACTCATTCCACACCACCCTGGTGCCACTGGGGACAGGGGACACGACTGTCCCCACCTGCAGGTCACGGCTGCTGAAGGGCTCCTCGAAGATGTAGGCGGCGTCGGCGCCGGCTGCCAGCCCGGCCATGGTGGCCAGGTAGCCACAGAAGCCACCCATGGTCTCGATGATGAACACGCGGCGCTTGGTGCCTGCAGCCGACTGCTTGATCAGGTCACACGTCTGCAGTGGGGACAGGATTTGGGATCAGGAGAAGGGATTTAGGGCCAGGGGATTTGGGGTGCCCACTGCAGACTGCTTGATCAGGCCACATGTCTGAAATGTGGGATTTGGGGTCAGGAAAAGGGGTTTAATGTCACGGCAGTTGGGGGATTTCCATCGGGGTCTCAGAGTGGTGATAGTGGTAGGAGAAGTGCTTTGGGATCAGGGGGATTTGGGACTTCCACTGGGATCTTACTGTGGTGATGGTGTTTGGCATCAGGAGGGATATGGGACACAGGATTTGGGTTCTCACTGTGGTGATGATGTTTGGGAGCAGAGGCTACAGGATGGGGGGTCTGACTGGGGTGGTGGTGTTTGGGACGAGGGGGATTTTGGGGAGGTATCTGGGGTCTCACAGTGGTGATGGTGTTGAGGGCGGTGTCGGCGCCGATGCTGAAGTCAGAGCCGGGGACGTTGTTGGAGACGGTGGCGGGCACGATGCACAGGGGGATGCAGAGCTCCTCGAAGCGTGCCCGGCCCTCCACCAGCTCCAGGCCACCTGTGAACGCCTGAGGGACAATGGGGACATCAGGGGACAATGCAGAGAGGAGAGGAACAGGGGGGCACTGACCACACCTTGACCAGACCTGGCCCTCCACCAGCTCCAGGCTGCCGGTGAATGCCTGGGGGATAGCAGAGGGACCTTGACCCCACCCTGGCCACACCCTAACCATGCCTCTCTAAGCCCATCCTGACCACACCCCAACCATGCTCTGACCAAGCCCCACTGACCCCATCCCGCTGACCACACCCTGCCCACACCCCACTGACCTCAAAGCCACCGATGATGATAAGACCATGAATCCCAAATTTGCTGATGTTGGCACTGATCTCCTCAAAATGCTTCTTGGGCAGAGTCCTGGGAAGGGGAAACTCCTCGGGATGAGCCTGACAAGAGGGGGACCCCAGGGGGACCCCAAATGACCCCACAGGCAGGGGGGAGTCACCTCTTGGTGCCTAGTTTGGATCCTCCCAGCCCCGTCCAGCTGCCCACAGTATTCCAGCCGATCTCCTCCACCTGGGGGGTGAAATGGGTTTAATGGGGTGGGAGAAGGATCTGGGGTCACAATGGTCCCCCTCAGCCCTATCAGAGTGACATTGGGGTCACACAATGTCCCCTGGCTCAGGGACAGCAGCAGATCAGACCCACGGCAGGGCTGGGGTTTGGACAGGGATTAAACACCCCCATCCTGAGGAATTCCTGAGGAATCTCCATCCCTGCAGTGCCACAACTGCCCCTTCCCAGGCCCTTTTCTTGCACCCTTCTCCCACATGGATCTCCCCATCCCAAAATCCAACCCCTCAAATCCATCCTGCATTTCCCAAACTCTTTTCCCAGCCTGTTTCTCCACTGGGATCTCCCCATTCCAAAACCCAACCCTTCAAATCCGTCATGCCCTGGCCACCCCTTTATCCCATAGGGATCTCCCCATCCCAGCTCCTTTCCCCCATAGGACCCTCACTATCCCGAATGCCAGCCCCTCAAATCCATCCCAAACCCCATTCCCTGTGGGAATCTCCCCATCCCAGTCCCTCTCCTGACGCTTTTCCCACCCCATTCCCCTCGGGACCCTCACCATGCCAAAGGCCAGCCCCTCAAAGCCGTCGTGCACCGCGAGCATGCGGTGCCCATGGATGAGGCCGATCCTCACGGTCGCCCGCACGGCCGCGTTCATCCCTGCGGCCGGAGCGCCCACGTTCATCACGGCCACCGTGTACCCGCTCTGGGGACAGGGACAGGGCTCACTGGGGGTTGGGGCTGGGCTTGGGTGGTATCCGTGCCTGGGATGGAATTGGGGTGTCCCGGCTCGGGCCCCTCCCCATGCCCTCTCCAGTGCTCCCTACCTTGGTGGCAGGCGGGCGGATGTGAGCCAGCAGCTTATAGACATTCCAGTTGTTCTGAAAGCTCCTAAAAATCAGGGAAGTTGGGGTTTTGAGACGTTTTGAGGACATTGGGGTTGCAGGGACAGGGACATGGAGGTGCCACCCACCGGCCCCGCAGCTTCACCGCGTCCTCGAAGCGTCCTTCGTTCATGGCTGTGGTGACGTCCTTGGTCTGGGGGCACAGAGGGGGATTGGGGTTTCCTGGGTGGGATTGGAGCGTCCTGGGATGGGATCAGGGTGTCCTGGGTAGGGTTGGAGTGTTTTGGATGGGATTGGGGTGGAATGGGGTGTCCTGGGGTGGGATCCGTGCCTGGGGCTGGCTTGGGGACACTCCCTGGAGGGTTTGGGGACATCTTAGGGATGGGAACCATCTTAGGGACCCAGACTGGGTCTGGGGCCACTCCCAGTGTCCCCCCATTCCCACTCACCACCTGGACACATTCCATGAGGGGCAGGCGCACGGCCTGGTTGCCAGACAGACTGACCACACAGGCCGGCGTCTCCGGCGTCCCCTCCAGCAGCGCCATCACAGCCTCCACACCCATCCTGCTGGCCTGAGGGGACATCAGGGGTGTCACCTCCCAAGGGGGGCTGTCAGTCACCTCCAGGTCCCCTCGTTTGGGACTGGGGTGAGGAAGGAGGTGCCCACCAGGAT